TTATTTATTTATTTTGTCTTTCTGAGACAGGGTCTCCCTGTAGCCCCAGCTGTCCTGGAACTCACTATATAGACCAGGCTGGCCTTGAACTCACAGAGGTCCGCCTGCCTCTGCCTCCTGAGTGCTGGGATTAAAGGCGAGAGTCACCACGCCCAGTCATTTCACGAATTTTATACTAAGAAATGATCTTTCTCTGCTCTGGTGAATCATCCTGATCATTCTAAGGTTGAGAGCAGCCTGCAGCCTCCTTTGTGCTTTCAGGCGGGGATGCTTTCCTGAGAACTGATTTTCTGACATGATATTCAGGGATCTTTTTCTCATATTTGTTGCAGAGCAAATGTTTCCTCCTAAATTAAAAACCTTTTTTTTTGCCCATCCTTATTATTCCCATTGATTCACAGTTCAGTAATTAAAAATATATTTTATTGGGCTGGGCGTGGTGGTGCACACCTTTAATCCCAGCACTTGGGAGGCAGAGGCAGGCGGATCTCTGTGAGTTCAAGGCCAACCTGGTCTACATAGTGAGTTCCAGGACAGCTGGGGCTACAGGGAGACCCTGTCTCAAAAAGACAAAAAATTACTTATTATTTTCATTTTATGTTAGGCATATGTGTAGTGCCTGTGTGTACTGTATTTATGTAAGTGCACCATTGTCATGCAGGGCCCACAGAAGTCAGAAGGGAGCGTCAGATCCCTTGGAACTGGAATTATAGTTATGGACAGTTGTTAGCTGCCATGTAGGTGCTGGGAACCTAACCTGGGTACCTAACCTGGGCCCTCTGCAAGAGCGGTCAGTGCTCTTAACCATCAAGCTACCTCTTCAGTTCCCAGTTCAGTAATTTTATCCCTTTAATATTTTCGGTCAGTGCTCTTAACCACCAAGCTACCTCTTCAGTTCCCAGTTCAGTAATTTTATCCCTTTAATATTTTTAAAGAGAAAGAACCAGCAAGAGATTGCTTTTCTACTGTGTTAGAAATGTGTCTGAAATGTTTAACATGAAAACAAAGGCTTTTTTTCCTACGTAAGTGTAGAAAAAAAAAGAGAAAATATGAATATCATTTAAAAACTGTCACCACACATAAATATAGCAACATTGAATTCTAGTAATTGTGGAGAGTCGCCCTTACATTGCTGTCAAGTTTCAAGCTCCGGTCATCTTCTTGGAGTGCTAAGTCTTCTTGGTTCCGGCACTATTTCTACCCCTAGGGTGAAGTGGCTATCCTTCTCCCACACTCCCCTACTAATAGCTTTGTTCTGCTCCTGCCCCTCTGACAGTCTGTGTTGTCCTCACAGTAGGAACATTGCTAAGCTGATAACTAAAAATTCACATCTAACTCTGATATTGAACTACAAAGAAAGTTCTTGGAAGAATTTAGGGTTCCATTCACTAATGGGTTAACATCTGTATAAAGTCTTCTTAAGTGACTACGATGAGATCACTTGCAAGAGTCACTCAAAGCTGTAAGACCAAGCTCATTTTACAAAAGGAAGATATACCAGGATCATTAAATATTGTCAATTATGGGTCTTTTGGTCACTTGTTTCTGGAGACAATGTCTTGCCATGTAGCCCACATTGACAATGAGCTCACTGTGAAGTCCAAACTGGCCTTAAACTCACAGTGATCCTCCTGCCTCAGATTCTCAAGTGTAGCATTACAGGCAGTTGCCACCATGTGACACTGGCAAAAGAAATAAAATAGAATTGACCTGCTTAGGCTCTCCCTCACAGGCAGCAACCATGTAGAAATCAACCTCATTTCACAGAATCAAAAGCTGGAGTTAGTTATAGGCTACATATCAAACGGTATCATTTCTATTGCTTCCTGACTGTTAAAAAAATAAAAAGGCCACTGTAACGTGAAGTTGTGCTTTGAACATGCCAGACCCCAAGGTAAGCATTTAAAATGAATTGTCTCCCATCAATGGATAAATGGATATACTGTGGTTAATATATTAATGTGATAATGGAATAGTATTCAACCATAAAAAGAATGGAATTGTGTCATTTGCCGTGGTATGGATGGAACTTTGTTAAGGGAAATAAGGAAGGCAAGAGCGGAACACTGCACACTATTGCTTATATGTGGGAGCCACAAGGATGAGCTCTGGAGCAGAGTGGGGGTTCCCAGAGACCTGGTGGGATTGGGAAATCAGCCAGAGAGGATAGTTAATTGACACAGAAGCATGCTTTGATAGGAGGTATGACTTCTAATGTTCAAAAGCATTGTTTGGCACCAATTAACTGTACATGTCAGCTAGCAAGAAATATTTTGAATATTCTCAACACAAATAAATAATAAGTATTTGGGGTGACAGGTATAACAAGTTTCCTGATCTAATCATCACACACTGTGTACATGTGCTGAATTAACACACCCTGACCCATAAATATGTATGCTACCTGTGCATAAATGAAAATATTTTAAAAACAAAATAGATTATTTCACTGTGTTCTAGTTCCTGGTTCATGGAGTATCCTGCCTCTGATTCCTGGCTAGTTAATCCCATATTCTTATACAATGGCCTATATGACTTTAAGGCTTATTTGTGCTATTTAGTAACGCGAAAATAATATTTCATACCATTGTTGTAAAAAACAGTTACTAGAGTACCTGACATGTAATTGGTCCTTAGTGAACATCATCTACTACTTTGGTTATCACAGCATTAGCAACTGAGGATTTAAGGGGGTGGGAGGAGGAGGAGGAAGAGGAGGAGGAGGAGGAGGAGGAGGAACCCAACAGAAACTTTGATCTCATATTTAAATGGCATCAGCAGTATATAAAACTGTCCTTATGTAAAATATCTCTGTTAATCCCTGGAGACAGTGTGGCCTTCAAGAAAATGGTCCATGATTTACTTAGAGGAAGTTTACTACAGACTACAGGAAGGATTAACTATGATGAAGATTTATTTCCGGTACAGTCTTAGCTCCTGCTCCTGGAAGTGTTCGGATGTCACTAGGTTGGAACTACACTTGCAGCTGTAGGTCGGGGAGGTATTTCCTATTAGAATAAACAGGAAATAGAGGAAAACTCACTTTCTGGTAACTTGGATTTGAAGGAGAGAAATTAGTTTATCAAGATTTCTTACCCAGATCAATCATTCATGCAATTATACTGTTTTACGATATTAAAAAAATCAATTAAATCACAGATTTTAACTATATACACAATTTTACTACTTGGCAACAAAGTTTGTTTAGTGTCATGTTTTTGTTACTGTTTTAGTTTCTATTTTTTAAATATTTTATTTATTTATTTTTATATGTATGAGTGCATTGCCTGCATATATTTAAGTGTGCCCATGTCATGCAAAACCTGTGGAGGTCAGAAGAGGGTGTCAGATCCCCTGGAATTGGAGTTACAGATAGTTGTTAGCTGCCATGTGGGTGCTGGGAACTGAACCCGGATCCTTTGCAAGAGAAGCCAGTGCTGTAACTGTTGAGCTATCTCTCCGCTTCTCTAGTGTTTTAGTTTGCTTTGAGGGGGCCGGTATTGTTGTTGCTTTACTTCAAAATATTCTTACTGAAAGAATTTCCAAACCCCATGGCGCTATATTTTTCAAATTGTGCTCTCTTGGTTAAAGCTGGTGGGGAAGAGAGAACATGAGCACATGTGGCCCAGGCACCCTGCTTATCCATGTGGTTCTTTTGCAAAGCAACTGCAGGCTGGCTGAATCTGGGGAGTGCCTGCTTGAGCCAGTAGAGCAGATCCAGCAAAGCATTCCTTTGCTATTTCTATGGAAGCAACAGTGTGCTTTTTGATTTTGGTCTAACTATTTTTCTCATTTGATATTTTGTCCGTATTTCAGCCTATAAGCCACTGACCTAAGGCCTTGTTATAAGTAAGGCTGAGGAAAGTGCTACAGGGATGGTCCAAAAGCAGAATCCCAGCCCCTTGATGCTTAAAATCAAAGAGGAGTCTGAAGACTTAGTGGAATGGCTTGACCCTGTTTGCTACTTGTTACTGAAAATGGTTGGGTTTCTTTTTGCGTAAAACTTTAAGATATAGGTAAGTGTGGGTAATATTTTATACTTTCCTGCTGAAAAAAAAACCAGTTATCATTTTGAGCATTATAACATTGTAATACCAGGCAAATAGGAATTCATAAAGATGCTTACTGCAAAAAGTACTCATAGAAGGGCTGGTTACTCACTCAGAGTAGGGTAGCACATGTGTGTATATTCCATTAGAACTAGAAATTCCATTGTGAATAGCTTCAAGTTTCATAGGAAAGACTTATGATCAAGGATATGTTTATTACAGTGAAGAAAAGAAATCATGTTAAATGCCCTAAAGTAAGTACCTATCATATCTTAACAGCATGCAAGTGTGTGTGTGTGTGTGTGTGTGTATCAGTTGGAGTTATAATAGTATCAGAGTATGATCCTCTTTTCTAGATAAAGAGGGATTCATCTACGGACAGAGCCAAATTTAATAAGATAGAGGCCATTTGTACAGATTTACCCACGGTGAGAATAATGTAAGGTTTGAGAGTATATAAACGTCCCAATGCAGGGCAGAGGAGTGAGTGACATTTATATTTCATGACTATATTTTTACCACAATGTAT